GGCAAGAGGAGAAGGGGACGACAGAGGACGAGATGGATGGACAGGGTCAACAAAGTGACCAACATGACTTTGACCCAACTCCTGGAGGAGTGGAAGGCAGGAGGGCCTGGCGTGCTCTGGTCCATGGGGTCATGAAGAGTCAGAAACGACTTAACGACTAAACAACAAAAAAAAAATCATTCAATCGAATTATAATTAGCAAAGTTTTATTACTGTTTAACTTATTATGCTTTTAATACTACTCTCTTTTTAATACGTGAGCCACCTTGGATCCCTTATTGGGAGAAAGGCAACTGATAAACAAGTATTTACTCAGGAACAGAGATGCAACATTTCCCAAAATTTCCCTTTCCCCCCCAGAAGAAATGCACAGTAGTTGCACTTGCACTGAGAGAGATGTAAATTTTCTGAATATTTCCATTTTTTTTCCTGGCAAAAAGCACTCTCCCCTCCCCCCGCATTTTCCGGGGGGGGGAAATCCACAACAGTTGTGCAACCACTTAAAGATATGTAAAATTTTCAAAAACTTCAATTTTCTTACAGGGGGAAAATGTATTTTTTGGGGGGGGGAGGAATAGAATTTTTCGGAAATGTTACATGTCTACTCAGGAATACATCTATGGATTTATCCCACAGTAAAAACACACGCAGGACAGGATAACAATAACCCCCATCCTACCTAAGTTCCCATAAGAGAGAAGGCAAAGACAGAAGGAGGGAGCCTATTGGCTCCAGCGCCCCCTCTGAGACTGATTGACACACCGACCTACCAATAGGCTTGTCGAGCCTCATGAGGCGCAAATAGGGCTGAAGTGGACCCGGCGCTGCTCGCACCAAAGCCGCGGCGGAGAAGGCGCGGGTGGGCCGTTGCCTTGGTCCCGCCGGGCGGGGAGGGCCGTGGTCCCAACCGGGGCCAGATAAGGCCCAGAGGGCGGCTGTCGGTAAACGAGCCGAGCCTCCCCTCGCGAGAAGGCAGCCCCTGAGGCCAAGCCGGCCGGGCAGGCGCGAGAGGAACCTCGCGGTAGCCATGAAGGCTCTGGATCTGACGTCATTTCCTCTCTTTAGAGTTAAAGAGGAATTAAAAAAAAATCCCCTCTTCTAATCCACACTTCCGGGATCTAACGAAACAGATAAAAACCTCATCTGCCGTAAAAAAATCCCACTACAGCCCAACTGGCTGCCAATAATAATAGGATCCGCGCGCTCCCACACGATTGTTGTTTAAAAGCAGGATTTTAAATAGCTCTACTGGCATGTATCAGTGGCTTCGTTTAGTTTTTACCATAAGTTTATGGGCATTGTGGCAATTTCAGGAAGACTTAAAGGCTTTCCCACCCTGCTTTTAAACAATGATAGTGGTTGGTGGGTGGGTTTCCCTATTATTATTTTTAACTAATTAAGCTGTCACAGAGATCATTGAGCCCAACGGTGTCTAGGCAGCAAAGGCTTGCATCTTTGTGTTCATGAATGCTGACTTGTTAACCAATTGCAAGCTACCTTGCTCACTATCTAGTAGTGTTTGCCATTTTGCTGTTGTTGTTTTTAAAATAAAGATTTGTTATGCTTCTAAAAACCCTGGTTGCCCCAAGTATTCTCCTCCAGAGATACCTCAGTGAGCAGGGAGAAATGGGCAGGAACTAAATGTTTCCGGTAACCTGCACGAAGCTTTTTACTGTGATTTTTCTTTTTACTAAGAGCCAGCCTGTGTGGCCTTGGGCAAGCTGCACAATCTCAGGGTACACCTAGAAGAAGACCCTGAAAAGTGCCTCAAGAGCCTCCTCCAGCACCACAATTCAAAAGCATCAATTCTTTGGCGGTCAGCCTTCTTTATGGTCCAGCTCTCACTTCCATACATTGCTACTGGAAAAACCATAGCTTTGACTCTGCAGACCTTTGTCAACAAGGTGATGTCTCTGCTTTTTAAGATGCTGTCGAGGTTTGTCATTACTTTCCTCCCAAGAAGCAGGTGTCTTTGAATTTCGTGAAGCTTCCCAGCCCTGGCCAACAGGTGACAGGAAGTCTGGTGCAGTTTTCAAAAGTGCACACTGGCGCCATTTTCTAACTGCACCAGGGCTCACGTCAAATTCCTGTTGGGTTTTTCCTGAAGATATGGTTATGGACATAGTAATATTGAGAACTCTCTTTCTTTTTAAAGAGTTTTCAAGTCAGTCTGGTTGTTCTTTTTGTAGTATAGGGTATGGGTTTTTGAAGATCCAGATGTTCTGGACTTCATTCCCTAGATTCCCAGACAACACAATCAATACAAGGAACTGCAGTACTTGAAGTATATCTGGAAGCTGAGTCATGGCAACTGGATCTCTTTCTTCTTAGGCTGAAATGTTTCCGCTACTCATCCAAGTAGCTTCTTCAGCTACTTGGATGAGTAGTGGAACACATTAAGCTAACAAGAAAGAAGTCCTGTTGCCATGACTCAACTTCAAGATAACCACACCTGGATGACTGAGAATCTTCTCAGATCTTAAAGTATAACATCTCTAAGGGCAGCACTAGAACCTTTTAAACGTGCATCTTCTGCATTATAATAAGAACCTAGATAAATCTCAAATAAACGACTCCTTTATCACTGTGGAGGTTTTGTGACAAATGCAAAACTGAACAACTGTAACAGCAACTATTAATATAAATCATTTTATTCCAAAATGTGCAAATACCAGGAAAGGCATATACAAAAGCACTTCAAAAGTAAAATAAAATAGAGTTATCTAGGATTATATTTTGACAAATCTTGTTCCAAAATCTAGGAACATAAGAAGCTGCCTTATATAGAATCAGAAAACTGATTAATTTAGATCAGCAGTCTTCACACTGGCCCTTTTGTAAGCTGATGTCCTCTGCTTATTTACAACTCCTATGATTATCACCACTGACTTTGTGTCCTGAGATGGTGGGAGTTTTTAGTATTATATCTCTGGAATGAATCTAGTTAGGGAAGGCTGTTCTTCCCTGACTGGCATTTCAGATACAGAGAGATGCCAGGGATTGAACCCTGGAACCTTCTGTGTGCAACACAGATGTGTGGGAAACTTCTGCTTAAAGGTTGTAGCTGCATTCTGTTCCAGTGACGTGCATACACTCCTGGCAGGAAGTGGCAGCTGCTAGCAGGCGGGATAACCCCTTATTCTGCCCTTTCGCTCAAAGGTAGAGCATAAGATCAAAGAGTTATTTCAACCAATCCTGGTTACAATTAGATAGCTAGTATCCTATCTGAATTCTAGCAACATACTATGTAATCATGCTAAGTAAATAAAAAGAGCTCTCAGGGCGTTGCCCGTAGGCTCCGCTGGTTGTGACATTCACGTTGTCAACTCCTTTGTTCTAAGGCAATTAGCCTTCCTTTCTTCTGCAATCACCCATGCAGGTGTTCTCATCAGTTTAAAGACTGGCACAGATGATACTATGGAGATGTGCCAGATACATTAGAACAAGCACTACAATTGTTTGAACAATTTCTAGAACAACTTTATATCCCCAGGTATTTTTGAACTACAAATCCCAGAAATCCTGGCCAGCACCACTTGTGTGGAGGCTTATGGGAGTTTTAGTTCAAGAACACCTGAGGACCCAAGGTTGGGAACCACTGGTCTAGAAGATAATATCTCCTCGTTCTAACCCTGTTTCGAAAGCAAATACAAGTTTTGTTTTTGGACTGTAAGTGGACAGGGCTGGGAGATGTAGTCCAGGAAAGGAAACGTTTCCAAACTCTACGTAAAATGCAAGGACGCCAGGGATTCTTAGCAGGGGTGGATCTACTATGAAGATAGTGGAACTTAGCTTCAGAGCCTCTAATCACAGAGGGGTCACAAAAGTGTCTTTAATCCACATTTTTTTTAAAAAAAAAGAAAATTGTGGTGATCTGTCATGAAACAACCCCATAGGAGAAGAAAACAGTGGTGTTGGCCTCTGGCTTCTTAGCTGTCCTGTATAAGATACAGGAAGGTGACGGGTAATAATGGCATATAAAATAAACATAGTCAAGCTAGTTAGATTTCTGGATTCACAGGGAATGTGAAACATATAACATTCATTCGAAGTCAGGGTTTTGCTTCCTAACAATTGATCCAGGGAAAACAGTTACTTGTTCCTTAATTTCGACTGCCTCCACTGATAACATAAAACGGAATCGGTTTTCCCCTCCTGCTTTAATAATATTGAGGTGACAGGTATGTAATGCTACTTGTGCCTAGAGATTGCTTAGTTGGTCTTTGCTGTCCTTAGATAGTTTTGTTTTGCCTTCAAGTTTCTGAACACTTGACTGGTCTATTTCTCTATTTATCCTGAAACTTCCTGTAATCTAGTGATGCCACCCTTCTTCCGATTTACTGCTTGGCATTTATTGTATTGCATATTTATACGCTAAATTTATATCCAACCATTCCTCTGATAAAGCTTAAAGCACCATAGATGGTTCTCCTCCTCCACTCTTGATCCTTATCACAACTCGATGAGGTAGATCAGGCTGGAAGCAAGTGACTGGATCACAGCTACCATGTGAATGTCATCATTCAGTAGGGACTAAAAAGCCAGAGAGAAACCTTCCTGTAGCAGATCCTTCATTGTTGGGATGATAAGAACTGAAACAAAGTGCTTAAGTAACTGTTGCAGACTGAGGAGTTGAAATAATTTTCTAGAAATATAGAAAAAGCTGGAAAAAAAGGTCTCGGTAATGCCTATCTCTCCTGACACACTTTCCCCCGCCGATCAGAATATCTGGAACAGTTGAAAGGTCCAATGTTTCCACAAGGCTGTAGTCTTCAATTGAATTTTGGTAGCATGTCGTGACTTGCTAGATGCATGCCCTTACTTTGGCATTTTTTATGACATAAAATCCATAAGAGAAAGCAGGAAACCCAAGCCTGCTTCCTGGACTCAGAGGCTTCTCACTGATTGTTGGCAGTGTTTCATCATCCAACATTTTTAAGACATGGCCATTCAGCTGAACAGACCTGCAAGAGGGAAAGGGTGATATTTAGACACTGCCCAACAAATCAGGGGGAAAAATACAATCACAAAACCATACATATTCATTTTGATTTGCGTGCTTTAAGAAAACCGGCTTCTAAAATGAGAATGGCGATAGTCAAGCGGTAGACATGTGCTTGGTTATTGAAGCAAGCTTACTTTCTGTTTGTTCTCCTTTTCATTTTCATCTCCATGGTTGGTTCCAGTGAGAATGTGTGACTGGTGTGGGCAAGAGGTTTGATCCTTACTTATTTATGTAATTGACGTATTAATTAGTTATATACGGTAAAGTTAGGTCTGCAAATGTGACCCAGGCTTTTCTAGGTGACTCAGAAGTAGTTTATCGATCCCTCTTTCTGGTTGCACTCTGGGGTCATGCAGCTTGCCCAAGGCCACACATCTGGCAGGGCATGTAACCCCATCAGTTGGCAAGACACTCTCCCAGGAGACACAGTGGAGACTCAGACTGGGAATCTTTTCCTCTGCTCTGCTGCCAGTTGCTCCAACCCACTGAGAGATACCAACCACTACGTTGGTCTGGCATCCTTCATGTATTGTCTGTTAGTATTGTCCAGCCCAAATGACCACCAGGGAATTTGGAAGATTTAGGCTGAAGGTAGAAACAAATGAAGTGGGCAGCTTTGCATTTAGAAAATTAGAACACTATCTGTGCAGAAAATGAGTTCTTCAGAACGGCCATATTTGCAGAATGAACATGCTGGCAAAGCCTGATCGATCATTAATTCTATTTGTTATGGAGCTTCCCTAAACTTGATGACCCTGGTCTAGGTGGCAAATTCACTGGGACAACAGACCTATACGTATATGTAATGGACTTTATGTCTAAGTAGACATATGAAAAGGTAAATTGTTATTGCTCAATCCTATGCATGCTTGAGATTCCCAGTGTGGTGCAGTGGAGAGAGTAACGGACTAGGATTCAGGAGGTCTAGGTTTGAATCCCCACTTGGTCATGGAAATTGATTGGGGGACTAGAATTGATAAGGCCACTCCTTAAATAGCTTACTTGCCTTGAAAGCCCTATTAGGGTCGCTATAAGTCAGTGTCAACTTGACAGCACAAAACAGAACATGCATGCTTACTCAATAAAATAAGTCCTACTGAATGAAATGGAACATATTCCAAAGTAAGTGGGTATAGGATTGCAGTTTTAGTGATTTTAACATTTTGCTAGATCTTGATACGCTCAGGCTCACAAATTTGATTGAGGACGATGTAATCATAATAATTAGTTTGAGCAACCTTATGCAAGTTTCCCTAGTGAAGCTCTCTGATTTGCTAAATATTTACAAACTTGAAATCTTGTCTATCCCACTGGATTTAACAGGGCTTACTCACAGCTCCTTGACAAAATATGATAAATGAAGAATAGTTAAAAGGCTAAACAAATACTTTAGAAAAACTGAGCAGGCTGGAATACTCACGTGGAAAGTATGCCGTCTTTCCCATGAGGTAGTAAAATGTATTCGTCGATCTGCTTGTTCGAAAAGTGCGAGGGTAGCTGCAAGCGTTTGGTGCTGTTGTAGAGGTTTAAGGCAAACAAGGTGACATCACCATCTCTGTACTTTGGACTGGAAGACAAACAATAAAATTGCCCATTGAAATTACATGCCTACCAAATAAATTAAAATACAGTGGTGCCTCACAAGACGATGTTAGTTCGTTCTGCAAAAAACATCTTGTGAAAACATTGTCTTGTGAAACGCGGTTCCCCATTGGAATGCATTGAAATCTATTTAATGCATTCCAATGGGGGAAAATCGTTGTCTTGTGAAAATCGTCCATAGAAAACATCATCTTGCAAAGTGCAACAGCGATCGCAAAAAACAATCATCTTGCAGATTAATTGTCCCGCGAGGCAATCGTCTTGCGAGGCACCACTGTATATTCATATCTGGGCAAGTGTATCTTGTCTATCATTCATAGATATTTGGGGGAGCGATTGGCTGTTAGTAGAATTGTTATCCAATATATCTGTTGGGGAAGATTAGAATAAGATGCAAAAGGCCACCTGTACATGCTAATTAATTAATTATATACCATTGAGTCAATTTCAACTTACAGCGACCCTTTCCTGGGTTTTCCAAATATACAGTACTCAGAGTTGTCTTGCCATTCCCTTCTTCTGTGGGTGCCCTGAGCTGTGCAGCTTGCCCACAGCCACTCAAGCTGGGTCTTCTCTTATAAGGCACTTTGGGGGATATAACTCCCAATCAGGCACCCAACTGACTCTTATCCAGCCAGACACTGAAGTACTATAGATGGAGTCAGAAGTGCACCAGGCAGCAAGGCAAAATCCATCCCCACCCTCACCAGTGTTGGCACAGCCTACATGTAGCAGAGCCTTCTTTCTCTCTCTCTCTTTCTCTCTCTCTCTCATGGGAGAGCAATAGGCAAGCCTGTGCTACACCTACATACTTATACATGTAGTGACAGGCATTTTGCTAAAATAGACTGTCTAACCTGAAATACCGTATTTTCCATGTATAAGACTATACTTTTGTCTAAAATCTTTAGACTAAAAATTGAGGGTCATCTTATACATGGAAGTAAGCTGAGGCGAGAACAAAAACAAGTGGAGGGGAAAGCAGGGATCAAAGCAATCCTGCAGCACTTTGATCCCTTTCCCCCTACACTTGCTAAGCCCCACTTAGATTTCTTAATTTTGGATTAGAAAAGTCTTATACATGGGGGTGTTTTATACACGGAAAAATACGGTAAACTACCAGGACTCTAATCTGGTCAGGACCCTCATCTGGAAAGGTGTTTGCAGAATGAGAATTCCTAAGTCATTAAAAAAACTTTTGTACAGATAGTGACAAATTCCAAACAGCCTGAGCATGCAGGAAGGCTCCTGGATCTTCATTGCCACTCTTGTATTCCACCTCAGTGACATATTGCTGACTTAAACTGATGTCATGGGAATTGGCAAATTGCCACTTATTCCCAAGATACTGGTTGCTTTCCTGGGCATGTGCATCCAGGAACACAACCAGCACTTTGTCAATGAGTGCTGGTGGACACTGAAGGAGCCTCCCCCAAGTTTGTGAACACTATGAATGCATTCAGGTGTTCCTTGGGCAACAACAACACCTTGTCAACTGATCTTCCATTCTGGAAGCACCACTGGATGAGTAATGAGTGGCAAATTGCTACTAAGACTTAAGCAGTTTCCTTTATGGAAGCCAAAGTTAGCAATAGGATTCTGGCCATCCTTTCTCATGCTGCATCTGGTATGTGCCATGACATTGCCTTTAGTTGCTGTACCGGGGTTAATGAAAGGGTTTTTGCACCTTCTCTTAGCTCTGACTTGCCATAGGATTCTGGCCATCCTTTCTCATGCTGCCTCTGGTATGTGCCATGACATTGCCTTTAGTTGCTGTACCAGGGTTAATGAAAGGTTTTTTGCACCTTCTCTTAGCTCTTCATGTCAAATTTGAAGATGGGCAAGCTGAATTTTTAATATTATCAGAAGATAGTGAATGTTGCACTCAATGCTTACTGATCCTCATTGGTACAGTGAAGATACACCCGAAGTTTCCTTGGGTCTTGGCCTGCAATGTTAAACTGCAGAACCTTGGTGCCCACCAGTTTCTTGTACAGCAGAGAGAGCCAATAATCCTATATCGCATCAAAAAAAGACAAAAAGAAAGCTTTAATAAACAACCAAACTAATAATAAAGGATGAATTAACAGACGTATAGTCTCCAAATCCCATGAGGTACCAGTCCCCCTCTATTCAGCACTGGTTAGACCTCACCTAGAGTACTGTGTCCGGTTCTAAATACAGGAGTTTAAGAAGGATACCAAGAAACCAGAGCAAGTTCAGAGGAGGCCAACAAGGATGACTATGGGATGGGAAACCAAGCCCTGTGAGGAAAGACTGAAAGAACTGGGCATGTTTAGCCTGGAGAAAAGAAGACTGAATGGAGATAGGATAACGCTTTTCAAATATACTTGAAAGGTAGCCATACAGAGGAGGGGCAGGATCTCTTCTCAGAACATCCCACAATCCAGGACATGGAAGAATGGGCTCAAGCTACAAGAAGCCAAATTTAGGCTGAATATCGGGGAAAGCTTCTTAACTGTTCGAGCAGTACAACAATGGAACCAATTACCTTGGGAGGTAGTGAGGGCTCCAACACTGGAGGCATTCAAGAGAAAAATAGATAACCACCTGTTAGATCTGGTTTGATCTAGATTCCTGTCTCAATCAGGGGGCTGGACTCAATGGCCTTTTAGGCCCCTTCCAACTCAGTTCTTCTACGATTCTAGAATATCTCCTTTTTGCCATGTATTTCTTTGCCCGCCTTTCTCTTTTTATTTTCCTTCTATGGTTATGACTTTGCAGTTGCCAAGTAATAGATAAGTTGTATTTTTGCAAAGTCATAACCTTGGCCGCAGTTTCCGAGACATGGATGAGGCTGACTGATATCACAGTTAATTGAGCCAAGGCACATTGTGCAAAATGTGCGGGGCATTTGGACAGAGGAACAACGTACCACTAAGCACAGAAATATAAACGGGTGTGTGTGGGAGTGGGTTGAATTAACGACATGTAAACACCTATGAAGCCAGAAGAACCCCAGTTCAGTGGTAGACCATCCACTGTATTGGGCCCCCTATGGAGAAATTGCCTCACCAAATCCCCACTGATTCGACAGGTCTAAGGTAAAGTTAAAGGTTCCCCATGACAATTTGTCCAGTCGTGTCCAACTCTAGGGGGTGGTGCTCATCTCTGTTTCCAACCCATAGAGCTGGCATTTGTCCAAAGACAATCTTCCGTGGTCATGTGGCCAGCGTGACTAGACACAGAACACTGTTACCTTCTCACTGAGGTGGTACCTATTTATCTACTTGCATTTTTACATGCTTTCAAACTGCTACGTTGGCAGGAGCTGGGACAAGTGACGGGAGCTCACTCCGTCGCGTGGATTCGATCTTACGACTGCAGGTCTTCTGACCTTGCAGCACAGAGGCTTCTACAGTTTCACCCGCAGCACCACCACGTCTACAGGTCTACTCTAGTGCAATTTGCTACACTCAGCAACAGGATGTTGGCCACTGTGTTTAAAGGGCAAGTTCCTTCCTTCCAAAGCATTCTAGGAGAAGTGGTTTGCAAGCCTGGAGCCTTCCCTTTTGGGTGTTGGGGGTGTGTACACCCCTCCACGTCTCGGGGAAGGGGAAATGGTCCCTGGGCCATCAGACAGTACACACCTATGAGTGAAAGGGATGAGGTGTAGGGTTGTCTCAGGGAATCAAGACAAACCAAACACTCGGGATAGTACCTCAGTGAATGGAGGGGATGAACAGGGAAGCTGTGCGGGCCAGATTCAGCCTGCAGCCTAGTTTGTGTCCAAATACATTTGCGATATTGCAACTGCATACATACTGGCAAAGGTTCAAAGCTGGCATCCACCAGATGGTAGCTCCCTGCGCCAAATAAAACCTGTCTCATCACCACATCGATGCCCAGCTGGGCAGACAGTCCTAGTTTATCCAGCCACCTGCCAAATAAAATAGGAAAACACAAACAGCCAATTTAATTCAAGCAACCTTAATGCACAGCCTGTCTTAGAGCAGTGAGTGTTAAGGGGAGAGAGGAAATCTGTTCTAGCTGGCAGAGTGTGATATTTTGTTCTGTGCACAGTAGAAATGAAGACCAGGGGAAATATCAGGTGTGGGGTTCTTGAATCATTTGAGGGTGAAAGAGATACGGAGAATGGCATGTGCCAGGGTATTATTTGTTGTGCTGTGTAGCAACTGTGTCCCCTAATGATGACAACAAAGAGAACGTTGTTGTTGGTTCCATCCAAGAGTATGTGTGAGCGCCTCTCCTGAAATTCTGGGAAAGGGGACGTTGGTGTGGGTTTATGTAAAACAGACCATGGTCTTTCTTTCGTCTCCCTGACAGTTTGGTGATTTTTTTTACAAAACCAGAAGTTATTCCTGGCAATGCCACTTGTCAAAGGAAGAGTTGCTGGCTTACTAGCTGGCCAGATGTTCTGTTTGTGATCCTGCCATTCGACAAAAGGAAAGTGCAGCTTTTTTAGACAGAATCACAGATAGGGAAGGTTAGATTTCCAGATAACAACAAAAAGAATAGTCTAGTTAACAAGGCCACAGATTTTTATATTACTTACATAAAACCCGCCAGATATGTATTTGACAGGTGAGGAGCTCCTCCTCCATAGGCTGAACTGGTTTCTCCTAACCACACTTCCTTTCCTGGTGTGATGTCATCCACGAGCTAGACAATGTGGTGAAAGGGAAGTATAGAAAGGAAGAGTCAGTGTAAGGACTTATGCCTGGCTGAGTTGTGTTAACGCCTCATAAATCTCAGATAGTGGGAATCAAATGAAATACCGTATTTTCCGCTGTATAAGATGCCCCCATGCATAAAACGCCCCCTCTTTTCTAGTCCAAAATTAAGAAATCTAACTGCATTGTCATCAGGGTTTTGGGAACAATATCAAGAAATGTCACCTAGTATTATAAGCAGTTGCAGATCTCAGAAATAACACCATCAGAGCTACAAAAAATGGCAATATTAGGGACAGCCTACATACTGTGCCAATATTTAACAGATTATTAGTTTTTTGATTAAAGCGTGTATCTGTTATATAATACCAGTCAATGTTTTTATAATTTTGATTGACTGTGTCTGGTATTGTTGAATAATAATTTTAGAACTGCAGAGCTGGAAGCGTCCCTATGGATTGTCAAGTCCAACCACTGTCAAAGGTATAGTGGAGGATCAAACTCCCAACCTCTGGCACTGGACGCAGATATCTAAACCAATGAGCTATCCAACAATTCAGGTATGGCTGAAATAGGAGTAGGCTTAACTGTTTGTTAAGTAGGGGATTCTGAGAGAATTACACACACAGACACACACACACACACACACACACACACACACACACACACACACACACACACACTTTGAATTTTGCCCCCTTTAAATAAGTCCATTAGAAGGCATGAGGGGGATTTTTAAAAGAGGTTTCTTTCTTGATTCTCCAAGGTCTGGGAGGAGGAGTGGAAGTTGCTTAAGGATGGTCCTCTGGAACGGTCCTCTTTAATGATCAGTCTTCTGTGGACAAAGACCAGGTAGCCACAAGGACACACAGCACCTTGAACACATCCAATCGAGCTTGATTTCACAAGCTGTTAGTACTTGGAAGAGAGAGCAATGGGAAAACCCTAGGGTTCTCCAGGGAGACGTAGGAAAGATTCCAGCCTGGAACCCTCGAGAGCCACAACCAGTCAAGAGTTGACAGCATTGAGCTAGATGAACCAATGATGTGACTTTGCGCGACAGCTTTTTATGTTCCTCAAAGAGCCACACTGGATTAGAGAGTGAGGGCCTACCTAGTCTAGCGTACTGTTCCCATGATGAGCCAACAGCTGGTACTAAATGTTCACCTCTGGGGTTGGCAGTCAAACATATACAGAAGATGCACATTTTGGGAAATCTACACATTACCCTGTAATCCACCTGTTTCTACAGACATAACATACCTGGAGCTCTTCCTGTATAGCCGTGATTAAGGTATCTAGTACATCCGGACTAAGGAAATCATCTCTGGTAGCAGTTCGTCCATTTATGTAGTAACTGCAATAAATCAAAACATATTGCACAGGTTTGAAGGCCATTGTCTTCATGGTACTTCCACAATTCAGATGAGTCTTGGCTAGCTGTAACGTAACATTTCTCTTGTGGAATTCTTTCCATGTTACAAAAGCAGACTTCTAGGTCGTCGTGCAATTATAGACCATGATCATTTAATAATTTCTCACATGAGATGCGTCTGGACAGAGCTTGGAACAATTATTTTTTCTTTTTATTACTATTTCCAGAATCTCACAGTCAACGTGGCCGCTGCTGATTCTGAAATTGGAACAACAACAGTTCCAAGCTTTTGAGTAGCTCTGCTAATGAGAAAGTACCGGGAAATTATGCATTCTTTCCCACTTTAACAGACGTTTTGCCTTATTTAAGAAGAAGGTCAAAGAAGTGGTGGGAAACCCCTGCAAACGTTCATAAATGAATTTGGCTGGTTGCATAACGACTTTTACCACTAGTTCTAAGAAATGTGGGAAAGACAGATTTGTTGAAGTTTTATTCCATCAAGTCAGAAGAAATAGACTTACACAGTATGATGTAATTCTGAGCCTTAACCTTACTTGGAATTTTTGGGGAAAAAATGCTTGCGTTCCAAGAAAACTGTTAGTCACAACTGGAGTAGATCTATTAAATCCATGGAATCTTCATAAGGGTTGAGTTACCATTCAAGAGTTGAATCAGTGAGTCTATTTTAGTTGGGATTAGCAATTGGATTTAGGCTTTGGTTTACAAATACTTGGTCACTTCGAAGCATTGTATTTTTAATGGGGGTCCAATGAGCAATCATTGGCATTATGTTTAGGTATTGTTCATGAATGGAAAGTGATAATCGGCCTGCTTGCTCTGGAGCAAACAAGGGTTCCCTGGTGGGAACCAATTCACTGAAAGATATGTATGTCTGATGGAGAAACACAGATGCTGTATGTCCATTTATTGATAGATGGTTTATCTTTATTTCTTATCAAAACAATCATTCCGAAGTACAGTGTTGTGCAATTCAGCACAGATAGTCTGGGAAGGACTTAATTTTATGATGCTTAAAATATTCTTGGAAGACGTTCTAAGGATAAGAGAAAGGAGAAATAAACCACATCCTTCAAAGACATGAGTCGAAGACCTTTGGAGAAGGTTAAGGTCACAAATAGGTTCATCAGAAGGAGCTCTGCCAGTCCAGCTAGTGGGCATGCACCATGGAAACTGTGTACGTACACGTGTAGCAGCTTCTTGATGGTGCAAAGTATCATGCAGTACATGATTCAGCACAAAGAATCAACAACTCCAGCTGGTTCTTGCATATGACTATAAGAACCAGCTGTAGTGAGGGTGGTGTAAGGATGTGATGCATAAACAATGTGGTTTGGCAGACCTTTCCTACGGCTCGTGTAGAATTTGCCTGGCTTGCACTTCCTGGACAGTCCATCAACCAGATGTAATTCTTATTTACTTATTTAAAATATGTTTACCCTGCCTTTCTCCTGAAAAGGACCCTTGAATTAGAACAATGAGAAACAGCTACTGAGAAAGGTATTTTCATGGGATTATGCACATGTTTGAAAAATACTTCAGCTGTGTCCAAAATACTGCTTCAATGACCTTGGCCAACAGGGTGATGCATTGCAGGGATGTTTACAATGTAAATACATGTAAAACTGTGCACGTTGGAAAAGGGACTGGTTCGGTCTTGTTAAAAAAAAATAGGGAAATCCAACCATTTTGGCATGGATCAGAGAGGGAAGCGGAAAAATAGGAAGCCCATATACAGTATTCAGAGTTCATGGAGGGATATGTCCCCTGTGAACAGCGCATCTACCATGCCCTTTGGATGGTGCACCAGGAAGGCTGGCTATTTTAGTTGTATTGCAGACAAGGCCCTGGTCACAGAAGAACAAGTCTCTCTTTCTTTTCTTTTTTAACTTTTAATCTTTATTGCATTTAAAAAAGAAATTATAAAAATAAGTAAATAATTATCACAATTATTAGCACATAACCGAAATAACTTTATTTCTTTCGCAAAACAGTAAGCCTTTTAACATTTTCACTTCCTTATTTTCCACCAGACATTTATTTTCTTCGCAATCTTAATAATACCTTTCTTAATGCTTGTTTTATATCCATATTAACAATCTGCTTTACTTTGTTTTTAACTTCTTTTGAGAGCAGTTCTGCGTCTAATTTAAACTGAAGTCACTTGGTACAGGTTTGGAATCTTTCTTCCATTTCTCTCTAAGATAACTCTTTACTTACCCCCATTGAGATTCGTGCTCCATTCTACTCTTTCCTTTCAATGAGTCTGTTAGTTTGACAATTAACATTAGTTCCTGTAATTTTATTAAACAATCCTCCACTGAAGATTCCTCCTTGTCTTTCCATTGTTTTGCCACTTGAATAACGGCTGTGTCTAATACTCCTAAACAAATTTTTGTCTCTTGTCTCAAGTTTAACTTTACCATATTGAACAAATAAGTTTTAGGTTTCATCTCCACTTTTATTTTTAAATCAATGGTGATTATTTTTTCTATTTCTTTCCAAAATTTCCTAATAACTTTACAACCCGACCACATAGGATATAATGTTCCTTTTATTGTTTTACATCTCCAACATTTATCTTTCTCATTTTTCTTCACCTTTGCCAATTTCTCTGGTGTCATATACCATCTACTGTATAATATTTTCATATAGTTTTCTTTCAAATCTGTACCTATTTATAGTTTTTTGTTACCATTCCATGCTCTAAACCAATCCTCTGTTTGAATTGTTCTACTTAATTCCTGCATCCATTTTATCATATTTTCTTTAATTACTTCCTGTTCCATGTTTCTTTCCAATACTAGTTTATACAACTTTGAGATTTGGTGATTTTCTTTTCCCCATATTATCATGAGAAGAACAAGTCTCAACCAGGGGTAAAGAATGGTTACTATTGGACCCTGGAGCAGAATTTTGCAGTATTATTATTTTTCTTTTTTATTATATACAACTTCTATAAGCTACTGGCTAGCATCACCAGGCCAGGTGGGCATGGGAGAAAAACATGCATATGAATCCAGTACTTACTGATGCCATGTAACAGAATCAATTACTTTTCCTCCCGATTTCAGGAATCTGGAAAGCAAGGTTAGCAACATAAGGGTGTATAGTACAATGCAGTGGTATGTATGTTGGAACGAACCAACCCACCCACCCACCAACAGGGTGATTTAATGGCTTTCTCTCATTTATTGGAAAATTATTTTTGGAATCTAACATTCTCAGACTCCAGCATCATTGTGATTCAATTCTGGGCATTGCAGTTCAACAAACAAAAACTTAGCCCAGCTCTGATCCCTCTTTGCCCTTTAGTTCTACAGGAGATGTAATTTTGTATTTAAAGCATGATTAAATATTGGCCAAAACCAGGCTGTGAAGGAAGGTAGTTTCTCTGCTTTAGACAATCTGAATAAAGCAGTGTTCACTCTTACTTCCGTATATATTCCCTCTAGGAGAAAGCCTTAAGTTTGGCAAGTTAAACCCTGTTCTCATTATTTGTTTGTGATCTTAACCATGCCTAAGCTAACAAAACATATTTCAGGCCAACTGTGATACATCTGCACTGAGCCAAAATGTCTCATTGTTGGTCTATCAAGTCAAACATTTTCAAGGAAGTATTTTCTTTTTTTACAGTACCTCCTCAACAACTTTTGAGTTCGCTTCCGAGGCTGACCTACATCAGGGCCATAAAGCTTGGCAGTTTTATAGCGGCTGTAGTTGTTCAGAAGCTGACGAAGGTGGATGAAGTCCTGCCCTAACTGGAATCCATCAATATAAATTCCAGACTTGTGCTTGAAACTGTTAGGTTCTGAAGAAAACATTAAATGACAACATATTTAGTTGATTCTCAACACATGGTTATCCATTATGACTCATTCAACAGTTGCACAGTGGCAATAATCCACCCTAAGTATAGGAGATTAAATGCCAGAGTGGCTACTAGTTATACTGTATTTATACAATGGCAGAGAATTAAAAAATATACGAGACTGTTTTATTTAGAAGAACATTCCAACTAAACTATGTTCTGACGAGTACATCTCCTAATTTACTGTATTACTTTGTAAAAATGTCAATGTCATTTTTGTGTGTGGCTAGAGACAGTAGAATATCAAGTCGCTTCTCCCAGCTCCTACCAACCTAGGAGTTTGAAAGCATGTAAAAATGCAGGTAGATAAATAGGCACAACTATGGTGGGAAGGTAATGGCGTTCCGTGTCTAGTCGTGCTGGCCACGTGACCACGAAACTGTCTACGGACAAACACTGGCTCTGCAGCTTGGAAACAGGGATGAGCGTCGCACCCTAGAATTGGACATGACTGAACAAATTGTCAAGGGGAACCTTTACCTTTGTTTACCGCTTTTTAGTGTGGTACTTGTTTCAGCCTTTTAAAAACTTGTATGCTTCTGTTTTTACCTTTTGAATATTGTCTTTTACTGATGTAAGCCGTCTTGGGTCATTTTTAAGGAGAAAGGTAGGGTAAAAATATTTTCAACAAATACAGTAAATAATGCACCTCCTACCATTTCCAAGTTCCCAAGACAGGCTGTAATTCTGGGAATCCGTGTAATTCAGAATTAACTCGGCATTTGAGCTGTCCCATTGGGAGTCGCCCTTCCGCAGCAAAGCGTTGAGTCCAAAGATCAGATGCAAATCTGCACAGTGTGCAAAGTTGTATAAAATATCTATTGTACTTCCTGTGAACCATGTAGAAAAAAGAACAAAGGTCTGTGTTATTAAAGGGCTGACAGTCAAGTCTAAGAAATGCCTCTTCCATTTGAATCTTAGGGGAATCAATTCAGTTGTGATCGCTAAAATGAGAACCAATGTTCATAGAATCATGAAGTTGGAAGGGACCTATAAGGCCGTCAAGTTCAACCGCGAGCTCAATGCAGGAATGCAAATCAAAGGATATCCACCAGGGGGTTGTCTAAATTTCTCTTGAATGCCTCCGGTGTTGGAGCACTCACCCCCTCTCGAGGTAATTGGTTCCATTGCCATACTGTTCTAACGTGTCAGGGAGTTTTTTTTCCTGATATTCAGCTGAAATCTGGCTTCCTGTAACTTGAGCCCATTGTTGCATGTCCTGAACTGTGGGATGTTCGAGAACAGATCCTGCCCCTCCTCTGTATGACAGCCTTTCAAGTATTTGAAAAGTGCTATCGTATCACTCCTCAGTCTTCTTTTCTCAAGGCTAAACATGCCCAATTCTTTCAGTGTTTTCTCATAGGGCTTGGTTTCCAGCCCCCTGATCATCCTTGTCACCCTCCTCTGAACTTCTTCCAATTTGTTAGCATCCTTCTTGATGTGTGGTGTCCAGAACTGGACACAGTACTCAAGATGAGGCCTAACCAGTGTCAAATAGAAGGGAATTTATACCTCATGGAATTTGAAGAGCCCAGTGCTCAGGCCTAACCAGATCATTTCGATTTTTTCCCCTGTCTTCCAGGGTATTAGCTATTCTACCCAATGTTGTGTCATCCTCAAACTTGATTAGCATTCCCTGAATCCCCTGATCCAGGTCATTAATAAAAATATTGAGGAGTACAAGACCCAGGACTAAATTTAGACTCACAGACTTGAGGCTTTTTAGACTGTGATCCTCTTTATCAGTGGTTCCAAAACTTGAAGTAACCTAGGTGTTCTTGGACTGCAACTCTCAGAAACCCCAGTCAGCACAGCTGGTGATGATGGGAATTGCAGTCAAAGAGCATCTGCATGATCCAAGGTTGAGAACCACTGTTATATAAACTTACTTAGGAACATGTGTCATTGGACTGAAAAGGACTTGCTTCTGCACAGGGATATATGGAGTTGCACTGCTGATGTCAATAGTGTATTGATATATCACATATTACATGTATTTTGGTTAAATTAATCCGAGCCTTTGTTCTCAAGGGCTCTGTCTTCCCTCACTCCATTTTGCCCTCAAGAGAGTAATAGACCCAAACACTTCACATCTGTGTTTGAATCAGTTTGTTCACAATTCAGGACGAGATTTGCAATATCATTATCATCTCAACACACTTAGTTTGATCTCCCGTTAAATATATTCTTTTAGGGGGGAAAGCGCAGAATGTAGATTCACACTGTGATTTCTCTAGTCTTTACTCTTAAAAAATTTAAGAGCATTGAAAATCATTTTTGGATGCACAGTGCAATTTCTACCAAGGATTGATAGCCCTACATTATTCATTGAAATAATGCATAATAACCATAGGATCCAGTTTCATAATGATTAGTATGAGTAAGCCTTTTAAGCTTAAACAAAAGATGAAAAGCCAGCTGCCCATTACTCCAGCTTCCTTCAATAACTATATCCAAACAAGGGTGACTCAGAAACTAACCGAATCCAAAAACTACATTAAAGTCAAAGTCAATATCAGTCACCTGCTCTTCCCTTGTTCATATGAACTGACCCAGCCGTCTGAATTTTGGGAGCCCTTCTGGGTGGTGATGGGAGCTGGCCTTGTCAACTATCAAGGTGAGCCCCTGCAATTCCAGATTTCCCGCTACACCAGAACAGAGTATCAGGCCATTAGGCCTGTTTTGGAAGCTGAATCTACTCCAGTGACCTATCTCCACTCTAAATGAATTCCAGACTCTTGAGTTTTGAGAACTACAGAAAAGGGGCATAAGGATCCAAACATCATACGTGTAATGGTGGTGTTTTTATGCTTATTCCTGTGCTGCTCGCTGAGGATGAGCATCTCTTGGAAGGGCCACTGAGACTGCAAGAGCTCTATAATGTCTGAAGGAGGAGATCTGATTCCACAAACATTTGCAGCATCTGGAGATGGGAGAAAAGAGAGAGATGAACATTTTAGTATTACTATGAAGCTATATAAACATCTTTGTGGATGTTGTGTTGTTAGTTGCTACTACATCTTTGTACAACAGCTGTGCATGTTTGTTCATTCATGGCATTTATCCAGAATGAGTAGTCAACAAAGAGACTGGAGTATTCAACTAAAAGGGCACAGTAGTAGGAAATGATAAGAATTCTTATCTAACACAACAATCAAAGGGTCTACATTTGGGGAAGTTTCCTTAAGGATGTGCAGCAGGAGTCTGCTTATTGAAAGCCTTGGGGAACACCTTGTTCCTCATGCCTCTGATTTCGGAAGCTCAATGCTCTGCAGGATGAGATGGAGGTTCCGTATATAGAAGCAGTGCACCTTTAAGAGGGAAATCATGTCTGTATATTCTAATCTGATCTTGCCTCTGCATTTGTATTGCAACTGGTCACCTGGGACATAGCATGGATTGGTTTGCCTATCTGATGACTCAGTCAGAGGTGGAAGATTTGTGAGCTTGGAAGAATAACTTTTGTAGGAGGAAGAGGAACACATTTGCCTTTATAACTTATCTTGAGACAGCAAAACAAAGGCAGCTTCACAGTTGTAGCATCTCTGTGGGACTTCCTTCCAAGAGTTCTATAGGCCTTGGTTCTTGTTTTGAAGTGAGAATAACTCTGATCTGCTAGATTTTTAACTAAAGCTTGAAACAACCTTTTGGTGAGAAGACAACAGAATCCTTCCACCAGTGGCCAGATCTGAAAATTATAATCCACGGTAAATCTCCCAAATTCTGCTTCGTACTGCTGCCAACCGTGCCTAATTGATTGACTGATTTGACAAATTTATTTATACGCCAGTGGCCTCGGAGTGAACTAACATAAAAATGAAAGGGGAATGGAAGGGATTTTTTGGTTATTGTTTTATAACACCATTCTATTACTACATATATGCATTGATTTACTCCTTCTACCATATACTGTCATTAAGACTGTACTGTAATGTGTTTCCTATTGGACTGGAAAAATCGAGTATAAATTTGAACCAAATGTCAGCCACGTGTGTTGTTTGTTTGTTCATTCCTTGATAAATTAAACCGCTGATGCTCCTTTTTTTAAAAAAAGTCCAAATTTTGCCTAGTTTGGGGACTTTTCTGCTTTTCTTCCATTCCACAGTCTTATCTGTCGCCTAAGAGTTCTGAAGAAATAAAAAAAGGCGCAATATTTGGAGGCCTTTTGATTGACAGTAATAAAAGAACAGTCCATCTGTGATTTTCCCTTCCCCTTCCTCACTACCTTGGAATTTGAATTTTGTTGTTATTCTTGTTGAAATGACCAGCAGCTTGGGTAACGGTGTCTGAACTCATTCACAACACGTACCTCCTTCCATAGTAAAGAGAAAGCCCACTGCAGAAAAACAGGCTTGTCAGCCGGTCTCAGTGTCTAAAATGTGGATGAACTGTACTGACCCATCTGCTTCATACAATAAGGTTGCTGACATACTTCTATTAAAAAGCCTGGGGAGATCATCTAGAACAATTACCTTTTTCACTAAGGGGATTAATAGCTTCCATGAACCCCACCACACAGAAAGAGAGAGGTTGGGTTGGAGGTTGAGTTTGGTGGAGGGTTGGTTTTTTGTTGTGGTGGTTTTTCTGTCGGTTTTTTTTTTGTCTTCTAGGAATCAGTTCTCTTTTTTTTTCCCCTTTTTGTTTGTGAAAAGTTACCTTCTGACTAAAGTTTAATTCCTAAAGAGAAAAGTATCAAGAATCAGGGGGACCGTGGAGTCAAGTAGGTGTTTCTGCTCAGAAGCCCTTTTCAGAGCTTGGAAGCTTCTTTCTGACCAACAGCTGAAAGGATTACCCATCCAGATGGAGGGTTTTTGTTGTTGTTTTTAGTTCCCATCCAAAAAGATAACTTCTCCAAACTCTGCATTTCTTTCCTGATTCAGCCTCTGAAGGCATCCAGCGCTGCCAGTACTCGCTCTGAAGGCATCCAGTGCTGGCAGTACTCGCTCAGCGAAAACCCTAAGCAAGGGGCACTTGGCATCTGGACCCACAGACCTCCAGATACAGTCAGATTAGGGTGGCTAACCAAAAAGTGAAAGCCTGTCATTAAAAAGAAAGCGCAGATTTGTTCAAAAATTGCATGGGCCAGTTTATATGCACAGATGTGTGTTGAGGAATAATTTATTGACCACTTTTTCACTCCGCTTTTCCAGTTAACAAATTGCACTCAGGTTGGCTTCCAAACAGGTCAAAAATAGGATAAACACAGATTTTAAAGAAACTAAAACCAGATTAGACAACAAAGCCATTCAAATCAACAGAAAGGCATAAAATAATCTCAGTGGTAGTAGGCATCCTTCAGTCTCGAAAGACTATGGTATCGTGCTCTGTATGGAGGACTTGGAACAGCGTCTAGTGTGGCTGAGGAGGCCAATTCGAGAGTGACAATCCCTTCCACACTGGAGACAAATCCAATCTGTCCCCTGTCCAGCTCCCTGGTTTTGCTTCCTTTGTGACTTCCTCTTTGCCTCAGCCTGCTGGACAAGGGTCTCTTCAAATTGGGAGAGGCCGTGATGTACTGCCTGCCTCCAGGCTGAACGATCAGATGTCAGAGTTTCCCATCTGTTGAGGTCTATTCCTAAGGCCTTCAGATCCCGCTTGCAGATATCCTTGTATCGCAGCTGTGGTCTCCCTCTGGGGCGATTTCCCTGCACTAATTCTCCATATAGGAGATCCTTTGGAATCCGACCATCAGCCATTCTCACAACGTGCCCAAGCCAGCGTAGACGTCGCTGTTTCAGTAATGTATGCATGCTGAAAATTCCAGCTCGTTCTAGGACTACTCTATTTGGAACTCTGTCCATAATCTCAATAATCAATTAAAACAACGTAAAAGGCCAGTTTGAAGAAAGAATATTAATACTGTAGTTCAAGCAAAAATATATATTACTTTTCACCTCTTGTGATCCATGTGTGCCTGTTCAGTCTGCTAGCAGCATACCTCTAACCGATGTGAGGTATGGAATGCTAGCTGAGTGTCCTCTGATGGAAGTCCCATGGTATTCCCCAGCTTTTGTTCACTACCAACTGGGTTTAGGTTTGCAGTACGAGACTCTACTTTACCTTGCTTTGCCAGCAAATCCAGAAAATTGTTTTCCTCCATCATCATCATCATCATCATCATCATCATCATCATCTTCTTCTTCTTCTTCTTCTTCTTCTTCTTCTTCTTCTTCTTCATCATCATCATCATCATCATCATCATCATCATCATCAAAAATATCAGACACAGTCAATCAACATTATAAAAACTTTGACTGATACAAGTTTCAACCAAAAAACCTGATTGTTGTTGTTATGATGATCCTACTTTACTTCTAATAAGATCAGGCAACACACTTGACTCTCCTTCTTGTAATGTTATTACTCACAAATGACCCTGTGAGGTTAGCCAGGCTGAAGAAACGGAGCTGGGTTGTTCAGTAAGTTGTACTGGCTCTTGGGGGATTTGAATCTGGAATTCCCAAGTCCCAGTGCAGTGTTCTTAACTACCGTACCACAGTCGCTGTCCAAAGAAACACCTTTCATCATCATGATTCCTCTATGAATTCATGTCCAACTTTGCATTTCCCCAAATTGTGTGCTAGGAGAAAGTACTTACTCTTTCTCCGTGTGTTTCTACCTGTCCCTGCCTTTTAGAGCCCAGTGTCCTTGCAAGTCCTTTGTTCTAAGTATTATGTTTTTTAGCTGAAAGGGAGTCTAGTGGATACCCCTTATTTCCAAGCAAATGAAGACAAAGGGCCAAAGGCTGGCTTTTCTGAAGACTTTTGTCTACGCTTTAAAGCAGCCATGCATGCATATGTTTTCAGGTGCATACATGCAGTTTTAATCTGCAGGTTGTTTAACCTCCATGTCCTCACACCGTCCATGCACTTTACAGGGCACAAACATCAGTAAGGGTGAGGGAGGGGCATTCAGATCAGGCAAACTTGAGTAAGCAAGAAATAACTGACTTAAGAAATTCAGATGCTCTCTCTCCCTCCCCATAGTTGTTTTAAATTGATCATACAGTTTATGGGAAGAGAAAGAGAGTGACAAGATGGACTGAGGATTTTTCATTGACTGGTTTGTTCCAGCTGTTTGTGACTCACCATCAACATCTTTTTTTCTGTTTCTTCGGTTTTCTTTCTTAAATTTATGTATTATTTATTTAGTCTAAATACAACAAGTCTAATTCTTCTCCTTCTCCATCTTCATCTTCTTCTTCTTCTTCTTCTTCTTCTTCATCATCATCATCATCATCATCATCATCATCATCATCATCATGATGTGCTATCAAGTCAATTCTGACTTCCGGTGATCCTTTTCAGGATTTTCCAGGTAGACAATGCTCAGAACTAGTTTACCCTTCCCTTCCTCTGGGGCACCGTTGTACTGCACAGCTAGCCCAAGGCCACCCAGGCTGGCTGTACTCATAAGAAGCACAGCGAGGAATCAGTCTTTCAACCTATGGCTCTGCAGACAGATATCTAAACCACTTGAGCTAACCAGCCAGCTAATTATAAATAAAGAAGGCATTTAAAAATCTAAACCTTGCAAAATTTGCACTAGGAATCTAAAAGTCATGTGGAAGTGGCTTCAAAAGCCAGTCCTGCAGCTTTTGAAGTCAGACTAGATTCTTCAGAGCTGGCAGATGCAGGATCAAACAGGTTTATAATGGTTCTCACTAAAGAGCAGCAAGGATACAAACCGGACGGGCATTTCCGGATGCCTTGTTTACTGAGGATCTGCCTCTGCAAGTTTGATTAAGCTTAACCACAGCTATTGTAATTTCCGGTTCTCCAGGGCTTAATTGGGCGGAGAGCCTTGACATGAGATCTGGCCCAGAATTTATTTTCGTCATCAGTAACTACTGGATATGTGATGGAATAACAAGAAAGGGCGCTCCTGATGACGTGCAGGGTGCCTTTTACATATCAACAAATGACAGCAAGCTCTAGCAATTTGTAGCCTTCCAGATGTCGTTGCACTGCAGCACCTGTGATCCACAAAAGCTTGCATGAAAAGAAATCTGCTAAAGTGCCTCAATATTTTGTCTCTCCCCCTCCCTTCCTTCTAAAAATTTGAACCAAATTGTCACTTGTAACACAGAGAAGCAGTCTAGGCAGGGCACGGGAGCATCTGTCTGTCTGTCTATTTTATATACCACCCCATTAGGGCAGAAGCACTATCCTGGGCAGTTTGAGAATAAAATAAAACAGATATTAAACAAACAATAAAGAGTAAAATTAGGACACATGACAACATAAAAAACAATGACACCATAAACAGTTTCCCAATCGGAGTAGGGCAGGAGATAAACAATCTGTCGATATGAGAGGCCTCCCTGAAAAAGAATGTTTTGAGCTGCCTCCTAAATGACAACAAGAAGGGAGCCAAGCGTAACTCCTCCAGGAGCTGATTCCATAAGGTTGGAGCTACCATGGAGAAGGCCCTGCCTCTTGTAGAAGACTTTGGGGCCTCCCTCAGAGTGGCTACACAAAGAAGCATAGCCTGAGAAGATCTGGTGGGTTGGGCAGATGACACTGGGGAGAGACGCTCTGACAAATTACATGGTCCCTGGAAAAGACCCTGATGTTGGGAAAGTGTGAAGGAAAGAGGAAAAGGGTGATGACAGAGGACGAGATGGATGGACAGTGTCATTGAAGCTACCAACATGAATTTGACCCAACTCTGGGAGGCAGTGAAAGACAGGAGGGCCTGGCGTGCTCTGGTCCATGGGGTCATACAGAGTCGGACACAACTAAATGACTAAATAACAACAAAAACCAAGGATTATTACAACAATTGCTAGGAATGTATTTTCCCTCAATCTCCACGCCCTTCTGTAACCCTCTTGACCCACACCCCTGATGGATTATTTGTCTGTGATCCTTTGGCATCCTTATGGAGTTGTAACTTTGAGCACTCCCTGTTCTCCCAACCCCTTCTTCTCCTACAGTATAATTTACTGTAAGTAGATAATGAACATAAGAATGGCTGTAAACACAGGCATCTCTGTTTTTTAAAAAAGTGGAGCTTTTATTTCCACTTGACTTGAGCTTTTTGAAGGAGCGATTGGTGGAACGTGAGATACAAAGGTTAAGAATCCCTGTCATGAACCAAAACCTCAGCCCATTTAATCATAGTCTTTGAGACTTTCGCTACCTGCTCCTCACCCTCAGTCGGTTCCTGTTCAAAACAAGCAAAGCCTGCAACCACGAAATTAACACTTCATGTTGGATGCTGAGTCTGGACAATGCCAGCCACACGGACAGAAAAGGGGCACATATACTCATACACTCATCTCCCTTTTAGTTTCCAAGCAGAAATAAATGATGCATTGAGGGAGCCTGACTCTCAGTGCAACTGAATACAACTCGATGAGCTCGGGGACATGATTGTTGAGCAGCATCACTTGCTTTTGGCGGCAAGACCTTGATTTAACTCCGATGCTCGATCAGCTTCCACCAGGAAGTACTTGGCGGCTGCTTATCTACAGCATGTTTATAACTGATGTAGCCTCCCTTTGCAGGGATCTGTGTCAGCTAAGGTCAGTTTATGGCCGCTGAAGTTCTCTTAGCAAGAAAACAGACATGCATGTTCATTCACAGCCTGTTGGGAGGGGTTGGAGCAAGTCTGATGCCTGGAGGTTCCTCCCATCCAAGGGATAAATCTTAATATATATTTTTTCCTTTAAGATCCATCAGCCTACACATGGATTGTGCAGAGTGTCCTAAGTTCACACCAACCCCCTCTCACATCTCTGTACTGGGAATTAAATAGAACTGTGGCACTTAACAACAGCAAGCACAGGAGGAAAGAAGAGCATGATAAATGCAAAGCTTATGGAAGTTACTCTTTTTTTTGGATAATGGGACCTTGAATTTTTCGGTCAGCATGGCAATTTTATCCTGAACTTGGGACGGTGACTTAAATATATATATATATGTAAATATATGGTTTGCTCTAGGACCCACTTTTTCATCTTTCTGACAAACCAGGGTATCCACAAAGCTCCCCTCCAGCCCCATATTTCAAACGAATTGATTATTTCCCCTGTTAACTTTCCTCACTGTCCAGCTTTCACATACATAATAGTTACCAGGAAGACAAGAGGGTGAATGATCTTGGCCTTGGTCCCCAGTGACAAATCCTTCCACTTGCTGATCTTTTCTATTCGTTCATTGCTGCCATTCCTGGTCTCAGTCTTCGACCGATTCCTTAACTTCAGTCTCCATGTGGATTGATGGTGGAACCAGAGTATATGTACAAAATCTTTCACGATTTCAGTTTCTTCATGCTCAAAGTTAAAGTTGTATACTTCTTCTGCAGTCATGTTCTTAGAGCGTAGAACATTATTTTTCAGAGGAATCCCTCTTACCTTACTTAGAGGCAGGTGGCGCCAACTGTAGTTATTGTTGCTCATTTGCAAAAGTGAGTTGCAGTCTTGTGTGTTATTAATGTATGCCATTGTCTTTACTGGGAAATCAGAAAATCATAGTGACCTGCATATTATGCTTTTTTGCAGAGGTTTGGGTGGAAGGGACTTTACATGTTGCTATGTAACCATTTAGTCAAAAATAATAGTTAACCAGTTAAGATCTCAAACTGTGTAACAAGTGTATATGCTTTCTTTCTCATTCTGATATGAAGATTTTGTGAGTAGAAGAGAAACATTTTTATTCTTTCTCAACACCAGAATCTCTGACTGAATCTTTTGAGACTCCAGTTGAGGTAAATCTAACTATGCAATAAAGGATGGTATATTTGAGGGAGACTTGTAATTATAATCTGCTCAGTTGGTCCCTGTCTTGATTTTTCTCTGAAGTAGCTGAAATTTTTAAGCCAGCAAGTTTCCACATACAGTACTTTGCCCAATACCATTTTCCCAAGATATACTTGTTTTCACATGTGCAAGAATTTCATTGTCATGGGAAGGCAATCAGATTGCTTTGACTCCAGGAACATTGGTTTTTTCCACTCCGCTGTTATCTGCAGTTAATGTAAACTGGCTAATTAAAGGTCCAATGCATGTATGAGGGCAGTAGTAAAGGTGCTATATTTTGATTTATCCACAGATAGGATGTGCCAGTTTGTACCCACAGTAAATTACTCCCAGGACTTTGCTGAAATCTTTGCATGGATGCATTTTAGACTGGTTTGCTGTAGCTCTGTGCTGTGCAAAAAAAAAAGTGCTTTCTCACTGCTCCATGAAAAACAGGATTCCTGAGATACATATGTCATCAACTAAAAGACAAGTAAGGAACCACAGGAAATGGCAAAGCAAAAATACTTAGGCAAGTAGATAATTAAGAGTACAATTGCTTCTTAATTCTACTTATGTTAACCCATCCTCCCTATAGCAGAAGGGTAGTGTGAAAAAATATGGTAGCATGAACTTCAACTTGGCTGGGAGTAAGCCAAGAATTGTAATGTGAAAGATCATGAAGTGGTTGTTTGGGACTGGCCTTGCAAACACATCTAACCTCAGAAAACAAAGATACTGTAATTAAGAGTACAATTGCTTCTTAATTCTACTTATGTTAACCCATCCTCCCTATAGCAGAAGGGTAGTGTGAAAAAATATGGTAGCATGAACTTCAACTTGGCTGGGAGTAAGCCAAGAATTGTAATGTGAAAGATCATGAAGTGGTTGTTTGGGACTGGCCTTGCAAACACATCTAACCTCAGAAAACAAAGATACTGGGTTGATGAAATGAAGTGGTTGTTTGGGACTGGCCTTGCAAACACATTTAAGCTCTGAAAACAAAGATAGTTGTGTTGGTTGATGAACACAAAGGAAAACCAAAAAGCCACAAGTGGGGTTAAAAATTACGGAAATAACACACACAAAAAAGGACCAAGCACAGTGAGTACTGCAGACTAAAATTAAGCATTCATGCTTTTGAGTTCTTCAGAACTGTTCATCATGCTAGCTGGTATTTTTTTAAAAAAGAAAAGAGGAAGTTGCTTTTTTAAAAAAAATGGCTGGCTTTTGCTGCTATGAAGATATTCGGGATTGATTGATTAGCCAGAATCCTAACAGTAACACTCACTGGTGTGACCCCACTGGTGTAAACCTCAGCTGTGAATTGCCACAAGTCAGCATGAACATGGTGCTCAGTTTTTGTTGTTTAGTCATTAAGTCGTGTCCGACTCTTTGTGACCCCATGGACCAGAGCACATCAGGCCCTCCTGTCTTCCACTGCCTTCCAGAGTTTGCTCAAATTCATGTTGGTCATTTCAATCACACTGTTCAGCCATCTCCTGCTCTGTCGTCCTCTTCTCCTCCTGCATTCACACTTTCCCAACATCAGGGTCTTTTCCGGGGAGTCTTCTCTTCTCATGAGATGCCCAAAGTCTTGGAGCCTCGGCTTCAGGATCTGTCCTTCCAGTGAGCACTCAGGGTTGATTTCCTTCAGAACGGATAGGTTTGTTCTCCTTGCAGTCCAGGGGACTCTCAAGAGTCTTCTCCAGCACAACAATTCAAAAGCATCAATTCTTCAGCAGTCAACCTTCTTCATGGTCCAGCTCTCACTTCTATACATCGCTACTGGAAAAACCATAGCTTTGGCTATGCGGACCTTTGTTTGCAAGGCGATGTCTCTGCTTTTTAAGATGTTGCTCAGTACACAACAGTAAATACCTGCACTAACTTAACATGATGCAATTCACAGCTGAAATGTACACCAATGGAGTTACATTGGTGTAACTTTTCAGTTGGTTGCACTGACCATTTGGAACATTTTTATACCACCTTCGTCCTGATACAGGGACCCAGGTGGGCCCCAAAGGGTTAAAAAATAGAGGCGACTAAAACTCAACAAGTTACAAGTCTTAAGAATTTTAAAAAGCATATTATAATATTTAAAAGATGAATAAAAACACAGTTGCCCATGGAACATACATACTTTGCTTTCCATCTTGTGGTTAAACAGATCTTGCAGGTTTTGAAGCAGTGCGAGAGCACACAAACTTGTTCGACCAAGTATGTATTCAAATGAGGGTGAATGCTACACATACCGGTAACTTTGGTATACTACCTTATCACTTTTAAATGTCCCACAAAAGACAACATCTGTACTGTTGCAGTACGGTCATGGCTTAAAATGAGCCAGAATGTAGCTCTGAGAACCTATTTTTCAGTTTTATGCCACCATTTTCCAGCACTTTTAACGAGAAGAGAGCATTTGTCCACTGCCCTTTGGGGCATCACAAAAAGCCGTGTCCGATGCCCACAACTAACCAGGGGATGATGGCCTTTGTCTTTCTATATTCAAGCCCGAAGGAGCTGCCACCAGGCTCGTTTCTAAACGGGAACTGTCAGTTAAAGGCAGATCCAGAGAGAAACCAAGTTTCAAAAAACTGCAAAACTTCTGGACATGCAGAATATGGAAAAGTTTCTCTTTTGGCTTGTAATTTCTAGAAGCCCCCAGCTAACATGGCCATGCCCGCTAGTGGCATTTGGGAATTGTAGTCCCAAAACAGTATCTTTTCCAGACTCAGCATAGGAGCCCTGGAAAAATTGATGGAAAAGCAGCCGCGGTTTTAGCGATTCCATTCCACCCTCCAAATCGCCGGTCCGAGCAGGTAGCCATCGGTCAGGTGGAGCTTTCCCTCGCGCTATGGTGGACAGAAAGCTTTACCTGTTGAACATCTGGTGTTTTTTTTTAAATTTTCCGAATGGAACAGCTGTCAGGAGGGGACGAGGTGGTACCCCCCCCCTCTTTTACCTACCCCAGGAAGGTGATGTATCTGGGATCCGTCACCAAGTTGGCATCGATGGTGAGCGACAGGAAGGAGGGGCTGACCTGCCTCAGCGGCCGGCTGGACTGCGGGATGCTCAGCTCGGCCGCCTCGTCGCCGGCTGGGGGAGGCTCCGCCGAGGAGACCCCGATCCGGAGCGCTCCGGCGCAGAGACACGCCAGGATCAGCAGCAGCATCATCTCCTCGGGTGAATGCCGGCGAGGAAGCAGGCGGCTGTCCGTGCGCCTCCTGCCGCTTGCCTTCGGGAATCGGAGGAGGAAAAGGGAGGGCCCA